ATATATATATATATATATATATATATATACATATATATATATATGTGTATGTATGTATGTATGTATGTATGTATGATGTATGTATGTATGTATGTATGTATGTATGTATGTATATATAAAATAAACTACTACTTGTACTACTATTCCTACTTTGCGGTTTTTCACTTCAGGGTACGAATCCCCGAGGGACTACTGTATGATCGCGTAAGACTTGTCCAGAATTATTAATAACATCCGGAGGAATTGTATGGATGTGTTTTCAGGATGTGAATAATTCCCTTTGACCTAAACCTGACAGCTCAAGTATGGATTAAAGTTGCGGCGCTTGTTGCTTTAGCCAGTTCCTCAGGTGTTCCACCTGTGCAGCAACGCTACTCTTGGCTGTCCCTCCAGGGGCGCTGTACTGCTCCACGCTGCTCCTGTAATCCCACACTGAGGAAATATCACCTTCAAACAGAGGGCTGAAGATACGCAACACAAGCAGGGAGGGGAAAAGAAAGATGAGATTAAAAATCTGCAGAAAATAGCAGCAGTGAGATTATTGTCTAATTATTGCTGGTTAAAAAATTTAAAAAAAGATGCAAATACACATAATAATATAGCACGAGTCTGTGAGAACAAGAAGGCAGCCACCTGACAGCAGACAGGTCTTTCCCAGACAGTTGATTCAGGGCAATGTTGTTGGTTTCTGCTGTAAATACTGCTTTACCGGACAGACCATGGGCTTCTCTGAAGGGAACCTGCAGCGGGGGAGGGGGGCAATAACAAGCAGTAACTGTAACATGTAAAACTAAAAAAAATGTGTGCTGTAGTCCATTTTAAAATGTGTTTCATCTATCTATTATTCTTCTTCTTTTTGGCAGAGAAGATATAAATATCACAAGTAAAAGAAAGTCACACACCAAAAATGCATACTGTATGTACTACTAGTGCTATTAAGCCTGTATTTATACAGGCGCTGTATAAAAACCACTCTGTACTGTACAGTTTTTTTTTAAACAAAGCCTTTTTTGTGCCAGCCGCACCTGAACATTAATATATTTTAACAAGTGTGACATCTAATGCTTTCCAAGAGTTTATCACTGTGGTCAAGCGTGGATATTTCACTGAATAAGGTCAGTGAGATTACATTATGAGATGACATCATTGCATTAAATAATGTGAATAAGATGGTTGCTTTTAGGACAACTCACCCCCTTCCTCACAAGGTAGTAGGCCAGATCAGTGGCCAACATGTCAGGACTGAGGGCAGCTTCCATCACACTCTGGTTGATCTGAAACACAAGAAAATATTCAATATTTGGTTCCACTTTATTTGTATTGACTGAAATAACAAAAGACAACGTCAAATACCAAAGTTCGTACTCAATAATCCTGTCCAGGTACAAATCCAACAATATTAAGTCAGGTAATCTGGATGATTTCTTTTTTTTTTTTTTTTTTGCTGAGACATTTTGTCTTTCATCCATAGGGCTTCTTCAGTCCAAGGAACCACAAAGAAACTGGAGTCCCACAAGT